TAACTCAACAACTCAACTCACCCAGGATTAACTCAACAACTCAACTCACCCAGGATTCACTCAACAACTCAACTCACCCAGGATTAACTCAACAACTCAACTCACCCAGGATTCACTCAACAACTCAACTCACCCAGGATTAACTCAACAACTCAACTCACCCAGGATTAACTCAACAACTCAACTCACCCAGGATTAACTCAACAACTCAACTCCCCCAGGATTAACTCAACAACTCAACTCCCCCTGGATTAACTCAACAACTCAACTCCCCCAGGATTAACTCAACAACTCAACTCCCCCAGGATTAACTCAACAACTCAACTCCCCCAGGATTAACTCAACAACTCAACTCACCCAGGATTAATTCAACAACTCAACTCCCCCAGGATTAACTCAACAACTCAACTCACCCAGGATCAACCTCACTAGAGAGGTTGAAGAGTACATTAGATGATGGTGGGAGCAATCCCAAATCCTCCTCGCCATCCATTGGTATATAGGGAGCCCTCATGTCAAAGTCAATGTCCTCTGCATCTGCAGCGTGCTCTGTTGCCTTGATGGACTGGAAGAACTTGTTCATGGACTCCACATCTTCGGGCACAGCCATGCTGATGTAATCGTTAGGACTTGCAATCTGAGGGGAGAGGTTCAGAAATCTTGATCAGATTATTCACAAATAGTAAATGTATAGGCTCAGCAGTTTAGTATTATATCTTTTCTGTGTATAAGATGCACTCATGTATAAGATGCCCTCATGTATAAGATGCCCTCATGTATAAGATGCCCTCATGTATAAGATGCCCTCATGTATAAGATGCCCTCATGTATAAGATGCCCTATGTATAAGATGCTTCTGTGTATAAGATGCACTCATTTATAAGATACCCTCATGTATAAGATGCCCTCATGTATAAGATGCACTCATGTATAAGATGCCCTATGTATAAGATGCTTCTGTGTATAAGATGCACTCATTTATAAGATACCCTCATGTATAAGATGCCCTCATGTATAAGATGCACTCATGTATAAGATACCCTCATGTATAAGATGCCCTCATGTATAAGATGCCCTATGTATAAGATGCCTCTGTGTATAAGATGCCCTCATGTATATAAGATGCCCTCATGTATAAGATGCCCTCATGTATAAGATACCCTCATGTATAAGATGCCCTCATGTATAAGATGCCCTATGTATAAGATGCTTCTGTGTATAAGATGCACTCATTTATAAGATACCCTCATGTATAAGATGCCCTCATGTATAAGATGCCCTCATGTATAAGATGCCCTCATGTATAAGATGCCCTCATGTATAAGATGCCCTCATGTATAAGATACCCTCATGTATAAGATGCCCTCATGTATAAGATGCCCTCATGCATAAGATGCCCTCATGTATAAGATGCCCTCATGCATAAGATGCCCTCATGCATAAGATGCCCTCATGCATAAGATGCCCTCATGTATAAGATGCCCTCATGCATAAGATGCCCTCATGTATAAGAAGCCCTCATGTATAAGATACCCTCATGTATAAGATGCCCTCATGTATAAGATGCCCTATGTATAAGATGCCTCTGTGTATAAGATGCCCTCATGTATAAGATTCCTCTGTGAATAAGATGCCCTCATGTATAAGATGCCCTCATGTATAAGATGCCCTCATGCATAAGATGCCCTCATGTTTAAGACGTCCTCATGTATAAGACACCCCAGTGTATAAGACACATCTGTTTACAAGACACCATGTGTAAGATGCCCCTGTATAAGATGCCTCTGGTGTATAAGAGGCCCTAAGGTATAAGATGCCTCATATAAGATAGCACCTATTCTTCAGCTCAAAATTCTAAAGAGAATATTTTAAACACCAAACAAAAAATCTTTAATACTGGGGGTAGCTGTGGGGCAGCAGAAGGAACCAAAACTGACAATTTCTGGAGTGGGGGGCTGCTTTAATGGGGTGTAGGGTACCTGACCTGGGTTTTTCATGAGGTCAACAGTGGGTTATGTGCTCACAAATAAATGCCAATAAAAAAACAATTAAACAAATGAACATGAAATGACTGGTACTCAAAGAAAGAAGTAGTGTGAGGAGGTCATACCAGACAACATACAAATCAAAAGCTATAGATACTATTCAGTCACTCATTCGTTGTCTTGCTGGGCCATTATACGTCACACATAGAGCTCACAGTCTATTTTCTCATTTTGTTCTACCCTATGCAATCTCTTTCCCTCACTCTCTCTCACACACACTCACTCTCTCTCACACACACTCTCACTCTCTCTTTTCTCTCCCTCTCTCTCATCTCACACACATGCATGCACTCTCTGTCATGTGTGTGTGTTTTTTGTTTATGTATGTATGTAGATGCGTGTATGTATGTATTAGGTATGTCTGTATATGAGTGTGCATGTATGAGAATTAAGAGTATATGAACATGTGTGTGAGTGTGTAAGATTGTGTACACATGATGTGTGTATGCATTATTCTATAATGTATATTTCCTTATAATATCCATGACACGCATTACTGATAACAGGCATTAGTACTCTGAAAAATGAGTGCTTAGAAGAGCCGAATGTCAGATGGGCCTGCGTGCCCAATTTGTAACCCTTTGAAAATAAAGTTTGTTCGTTCGTTCGTTCTCTAGATAACCTGCGATAACATGCAAGCAAAACTTCACTTACTCTAGATGAAGAACTTGAAGACAAAGCTGAGACAGGCGATGCATCCTTGTGATGGTAACACATGTCTGGGGAGGCTGCCTCGGGCTCCTGTTTGAAGACTGAGTGTGTGGACAGTAGTACTGAGGGCAAGTAAACATTTAGTTATACACCATGAGAAAATTAACAAACCTTGTGATTAATTATTTAGTTTTTCAAAAAAAAAAGTACAGGAGCTCTATGTTATATAAGATATATGGTAAGTAAAGTAAAGATCCCTTTTCACGCCATTAGCCGCATCGGGCATATAGGAAAAGCACTTATATTTTTACAGACCAATCGGTATTAGGTGGGTTTTTGCAGTTTGGTCATGGTGGTCACTGTTGCAGAATCAGTTATCATTTGATTCATGCAAATATCATAACTGTTGTAAAGTTTTCTTTATATGAACCTGGTGGATTGCTGACCATGTAGTCAAACATTGTCTAGGTTTTCTACATTTTAGGCTTGACTGACTGGTCCTGTCACTCCACTGCCTTCTACTCTCAGTAACTTTCTTCTCCCAATGTGGGTTCTGGGGCCACAATATGGAGGAAAACAAGAATAGATCCACTGCCTCCCTAACAAGCATGCTGTCAGAGTTGACTAATTAGGTGCTTTCTTCAAACTCAGAGTGCATTTGCTGAGAGGAAAGGCACCAGCAGTCTGCATACAAACAAGCCAGATCTGTAGAACGGATGTGCACACAAAACCTAAGTTCTGGAACAAGATTAAGGGGTGGATGAACAGCCATAACTTTCTGATAGAGTTTACAGCCCAGTGAAAGTGAAGAAGTGAAGAAGTAACTTTCTTCAGCTTAGCATTAGACAGTGTCCAAACTCATTTGCAGGCAGGATACATTTTGTTTGAAGACAACCTCTTTTTCTCTTGCTCTTTGATATTTTCAATGGAAATGATAAGGAGTTAAACACAGAACCACACTGTGATTCTAATGTTAAATCAGTACCAGTAACAAACTACAAACATTCATTAACTGGTGCCAGCTCTGAACAGACGGAGCACAAAGATATGACAGTATCACTACGATGGAGCATGAATCAAGAAGTGAGAAAAAGATAATGGCACCAGATAAAAGGACACACACTGTGAACACCTGAAAACAGGTAAAGCTAGAAGGTTCTTTTTCTGGAACCAACAGAACAAGTCTGAAATAATTTAGTTTGAGGAGTTCATAAACCAACCCCAGCAGCATTGTTGGCTGTGTTTTTACTGGGTAATTTTAGTAGTTTGCTATGCTTTCTGAACAGTCTGATGCTTATACTGTCGACATCAACATTAAGCAGTGCATTGTTCTGTAGCCTACAGATGACTTAAACCCCCATGTGTTGAAATTATGAACCTATCTTTATACTACCTGTCACAGACACTGACAAAAGAGATAGATACAGATTTAAAAACAAAGAGAATTAGGAACAGATGAATCGTATACAGATGTCAATGAAGGAGCAGCAAGAGATGGCTTGGCATGGGATTGGCTAACATTCTGCTCTAACAAAATCCCCCATACAACAGCTAAAACAATAACTAATAAACTACAAACATTCATAAACTGGTGTTTGTGTAGAAGAAAGGGATTTATATGTGTGTTAGAATCACTAAAGTAGATGCAGTTTAACAGGAGAACTAGACAATTTAAGTGAATCAAGAGGGGTGGAAAAGACACTGGTGTTGGATATGACACACATTGAGAAAACCTTGTGTAACAATATGACTAGAATGTCTTTGCAATAAGATCTGCAACAAGACTAAAGTCTAGGAGTGAATGAACAACCAGAGCATTCTACTTGAATTTACAGCTGGTAAATGCGAAGAAGAAAAGATCCTCGCCAGTGCAACGGAATTCGTGCACTGTCCTAAGATTCTTAAGACTCAGGCTTGAGTTAGAAGTAGAATGGAGCACTTATGGGTTACACCTGTGTGCCATGATGTTGATCCATAATATAATAATAGAGACAATAAACCCACCAGGCCAAAGGAATAATAGCAGACCAAAATATACACAGGAAAGATAAGTAGAGAGTGAAGTGAAACAGTTGGCCAGGATATGGGGTGAGCTGCACATGAAGGCCAGAGGTAGGACAACCAGGCGTGAACTAGCTGAGGACCTATGCATGATGATAGCCAAATAGAAAAAGAAGAAGAAGAAAAAGAAATAGAAGAAGAAGAAGATGAAGAAGAAAAAAAGAAGAAGAAGAAAAAGAGGTAGCAGAAGCTGCAGAAGACGGAGAAGGAGGAAGAAGATCTCAGACAATAACAAATACTCACTATTATGTCCAAGGCAACTGTCAAAAGCCAGCGGTATACTCTCACCCCCTGCACTGGGTGCCAGGTAGGACAGATCTTGTGTTTCATCATTTCGGACTAGCAGTGAGCAAAAGTGTAATACATTTCCTAGTATTAATACACTTCTCCACAGAACAACTACTTGTCTTGTTTTTAAATAATAAAGATATGTGTATCTGTTTAACTGTTCATTGATTCTGCATATAAAATGTATATGAAATGAAATAAATGTTACACTTATTCTGACATAAATTATACGTTCAATATATTTCATCACATTAATGGATTTGAGATAATTCTTTACAAAAGATCAAGTTTTCGTGTCTAGCTAAATATATTTCCTACAGTTCTTTCAATATGATGAATGCAAATCAATTATAAGTCCAGAGATACACAGGAAAAAAATACTGGGATACTGACAGGTGCATACATTAACAGATAACAAAATTGTCTCAACAAACACCGGTATATCAACTGTTATAAGATAAAGAAAATAGCGCTATTGTCGGAACCTCCTGAGAAAAAGTGAGGAAGGAATCACCAAAGAAGTGCTGAAATGAGAAACAAATGGGCTGAACAAATGAGGAGACCAAGAGAAACCCTACAGTGAACTTAAAAAACATCCCTAAAAAGTATGTCAACAAATAAAAATATTTATACAAAAAAAATAAGGAGTTTGCTGAAATCTGCTGAATTGGGCAGAAATGCATAAATATCACAGCCTAGTTGTAAACTATACAATAATGTACCAACCACCCTTTTGAAGGAAAAACTGAAGAAGAAGAAGATAAAATATCAGATTAAATTATCACTGTCAAATACCTGTGAGGATTAGCACTGGTAGATATACAACAAGTGAAGGAGTTAGTACATTAAGAGAAGAATGACAGAGGGACGGAATCTTTCTGCCCTAAGGATGTATAAATACTGCTAGAAATAACTGAGGAAGGTGTTAGCCCTTACACAGCACCGTTCACTTATACATATGGCTATTGTCCATTCTAGTGTAAAGAGATACTCAATTTGAAGTTAAAGTTGACATGAGAGTACAGTATACTTACACATAATAGAACTATTCATCTCTGGCGGTAGAAAATATCCTTTGTCCATGTCCTTGACCCTTGGAGCAAAAATATTCTCTGTGCTTAGTTCGACCTTTAGAGGTATAAGGGCAGACAAATCTATTTCTGGCACCGGGCTCTGTACATGGGAGAGAATGCTCCTAGGGTCTTCTACGCCACTGTAAAGAGAAAATCAATTTGAAGATAAAGTTGAAGTTGACTTTATCGACTTCACTGCACCAGAGTTGATCTCTCATGTCTCGGTATCCTTGCTGACAAAAAAAAAAGCTAGCCAAATTCTGCTTCTTCTATCCTTCTGTCAGAAAACTTATATCAAGAGGCCAGTAGCCTTTACGGAAGCTATAGTGCAGCCCATCTCTCCTTGTGCATGATACAGCTTTGTCTTCATTGTGGTTGGAACAGGCCAGATTGTGTCTCTGTTGGCAGCATACAGTTGACAGTGTTGTAGCACATGCTCAGCATTTTCTGGTGCCAAGCTGGAGGGACACATCTTCTTGTTCCCTACACCAACAAGTGTGAATATATAGTGACAAAATCAGCTGTGGCCTGACCTTAGTATGAATTTAACACACCGTCCATGAAGTGAAACCTGAGGAGAGAATATGATGCGTCTATCTGATCATCAGGAATCTCTATACAAATTACACCCGTGAACCAAAGCACGCAGTCCGTGAAACGTTCGCCTCATGCTTCACAGTACAAGGCTATTGGCTTGACCACGAGACACCCCAAAAAGAAATTAAGTTGATTATATCGGCCAGGAGCCACAGTGGTGTAATGTTCTGCCTCTGACCTGAAGGTCTCGGGTTCAAATCTGTATCGAGTCAGATTTTTTTTTCCACAATGACTTTAGCTAAAAAGTTGGCCCAGCCTAAAATGGGCACTAGGTAAAGTCCTAGGAAGTAAAGGTGTCTAGCATTATATGCCTTTTCTACCACTGGCAGGAAAAGGGTCCTTCTCTTAACTCTTTCAATACCAAACAACTCACTATACGTTTCTGGATCAATTCACAGAATATATGATTGATCAGCTGTCTTCTGTCACAGACAGATATTTTTTTGATTCCTTCTTGTCTAGATTACTAGTTTAACTTTTTAGTGTCTAGTTTAAGTCCAAAGGGCGACATTTTTTACTTCTTTTAAGCTAGACTTTAGGTTAGAAGGAGTTAAAATAACAAATTCTTGGGACTGAAAGGGTTAAACTTATTTATGACATCCAGTGGTTTCCAAGCTGAAAGACATAACAGTGGAGTAACTATGGTAAGAATATTCAAAGCAGTCAGGGACTATGGTTACAAAGTACCAAAGTATATTCTTTTCTCTTAGGCCCTATGAAATGCAAAGTCTCTTGTAGACCATTTTAGGATCACCTGAAATTTTCAGGTAAAACTGTCTATGGGATATGTTAGGCAGTCTCACACTAATCCTTCTTAATGAACTCTTACAACATGGAAGCCTGCAAAGTTACTATTCCAAGCCTTATTGATCCAGTTTCTGTTTCTTCCATATTCAGATCTAGTAGAATGTCTGTGTATTTTTCTTCATGATCCATGCCCACGATATTCTAACAATGGTTCTTCAACATTAATTTTCCCAAGCCTTAACAATCTACCTTGATAACTGTGAAAAGATCTATGACTTACATCGGTATGTTGCCCCAGCAAAGATGTATGTTCTCAAAATGCTTATTTACACTGATTTATGTGTGTGAGAAAACCAGCATTGAAACAACGTGTTCGCACCTTGGCAGGTGATAGTGTGATAGGCGTATCCTTTACAGGACGTTGCAGACCCAACCCCAACAGCCCCTAGCTGTTGTGTGGTTTTTCTAGGCAAGTTTACATCCAGTAGTTTTGATAGTGTGATACTGTGCTATATATAGAGAGGCATGTAAATCACATCCCATGGCAATGGTGAATGTATCTAGCATAGAGTCCAAGCTTTGTGGTGATGGTAGTCATGTCTATCCACAACTTTCTGTCTCGTGTACTTTCACTCAACTCTGACACAGACAATCTTCCATGCCATGACGTCAAACTGTCCAGCATCTGTTCTCTCAGTCTCCTTCTGCCTTTCCTTCCCTCCAACTTTTTTACTGTCATGATATACTACAGTTTTCTCCTTCTCATCACATGACCAAAGAATGTAGACTGTCTCTTACACCATAAAAAAAAAAAAAAAAAAAGAGTTCTACAATCAGAGTATGGGAGTTCAGGACCATTGTTGCCATCACATGTATCGGACATGTTTCTTCTCAGATTTTCAGCTCTTTACCTGTCTGCAATCATTTTCTTCTTTATCCTAATACTCTTTCTGAGTTTCTCACTCAATGCAACATGGTCCAACGCATCCTGTTCCCATGAATCCCCCGCCAGTACCTGTATCATTCATGTCCCACTTGCTCACATCTTTATATCATAGTAGCAGAGTTCAGCATCTTCTAAAACATCTTACCTCAATATATAATGAACACAAACCACCGACTGTGGCTTCTGGGTGCGGCTGTTGTTGATAACAGTTGCCTGGGTGACAACCCACATGTAACCACCGGTTCGAACCAGAAACCGGTAGAAGCCAGTTACTACTTGTCCTTTAGCGAACACTAGGAAAAATATGAGAAACAAATTAAATCAACAAATTCATTACTAGACCACATTACATTCTGGATCACATATATGGGTGTTAGAGGAAAGTACAACTGAAAGTACACAATATATTACATAACACTGACATATATACTGTACAACACTTGTTCTTCGCTGTGTCCACCGGCTGTACATTCGAGCAGAAAGTTCTGGTTGTTTGTCCACCTTTAGACTTTACTCTCGCTACAGAAGGAGTGTTGTGTGCACATCCATTTTATAGATATGACGTATCTGTATGCAGACTATTGGTTCCTTGTCTCTCAGGCAGATGTACTCCAACTTTGAAGCACCCCGATTAGTCTACTCTTATATGACATGTTTGTTGGGGAGGCAATAAATCTATTCTTGTGTATGTGTGTTGTATTCAGGTAATGACAAGTGTCCGAAGGCTTATGGAAATCACTTTGAGCACCCGTAGTTACTTCAAATATCACGTGTAACCTGTATGCATCTCTTTGTATCTGAACAATTTTTGTATTAAAATGGTAATACAGGTTATTTTAAAAAACTTCATGCAGCACATTGCTACCATAATGTATTCAAAGACCACAAATATCGTACATGTGGAAACTTTTTACTGCTGGGCGACTACTACCTATACATTTTTTTGTGGTGCTAACTCTGTGTATCACTTGACACTGACATATACTCTATGTATCACACAACACTGACATATATACTACACATCACATATAATTACCAATAAGTAATATATATATATATATATATATATATATATATATATATATATATATATATATATATAGAAACAATGACGACATAATGTTAAAGTCAGAAGGATCGACTTCTCTGCATTGTCTTATCTCACATAGCTAGGACTCTTCTTGAAGACTGACTAGCCATTCTCTGAGAGTGTCACACAAAGCATGAACTCCATGAACTCCAGTGACAATCTCCAGGGATCTCCCTAAAAACGGTATCCCTGAACCAAACAACATGATCGTAAAATGAACCTACGTCCTTCACAATGTAAGGCAAACTGCATGATAACTTCGCCCTACATGTATGATGGGCACACTACATGTCACAAAGGACTTGACCTTCTCTTGATGATTTGATTGTCTCCCTTTAGGACATGTCTAGCTACTTTTTAGAACTTCTTTTCCAATGCTTATGGCTTGAGTGCCTTCCTTTTAGGACTCGATTGCCTAAACCAGCTGATATATTCAATGCAGACGAAACATTGACCCTCAACATTCAAGACCAAGGCAAGACGGACATACAATCAGACTGCTACAGCTATCAGAACCAAAACTTTGTGCTGGCTTCTGAAGAGGGTGATGGAGTACTTATGGGATTGTCCCAAGTGCTATTATATCAGTTCACAACTCAACTCGCCTGCAGATCCAAAGGTTGTGGGTTTAAATCTGAACGAACTGGACTTTTTTTTTTTTTAATGACCTTGGCTGCCAGGTTGACCCAGCCTTAAGTTAGTACCAGGTAAAGTCCTTTGAAGTAAAGGCGGCCGGCATAATGTTGACCACATCACTCACCAAGTAGCGATATACACCAAGTACAATACAGGTCTAGCTCTGTATGCCCAATGTGCCTGAAGGCCTGGAAAAGGGTGGTTTTAACTCAACTCAACTCAGCTCAACTCAGCTCAGCTCAACTCAACTCAGCTCAACTCAACTCAGCTCAACTCAACTCAGCTCAACTCAACTCAACTCAGCTCAGCTCAACTCAGCTCAACTCAACTCAACTCAACTCAACTCAGCTCAACTCAACTCAGCTCAGCTCAACTCAGCTCAGCTCAGCTCAACTCAACTCAGCTCAGCTCAACACAGGTGAACTTACAGTCTTTAAAAGCTTTATCTATGACATCAGAATCCAGCCCATGATGGAACCCATAGAAAGACTGGCCAATCATCTCTTCACAAGTGTAACCTGCCAGCTCCTTGATTCTGCAAAGATTTGGATTAACATATTCACAATCAGTAATAAACAACAGAAAGAGACAACAGATCAAATGGTTCAGACATGTGTCAAGACTTCCACAAGACAGTGCACCACAGACAGCCGTGTCACTCAGATACAACAGAAGCTGAGATCAAATGGTTCAGACATGTGTCAGATCACAATATTGTACAACACAGATGGCTCTGTCACTAAGACACAACAGAAGCTGAGATCAAATGGTTCAGACATGTGTCAGATCACAATATTGTACAACACAGATGGCTCTGTCACTAAGATACAACAGAAGCTGAGATCAAATGGTTCAGACATGTGTCAGATCACAATATTGTACAACACAGATGGCTCTGTCACTAAGATACAACAGAAGCTGAGATCAAATGGTTCAGACATGTGTCAAGACCACAATATTGTACAACACAGATAGCCCTGTCACTAAGACACAACAGAAGCTGAGATCAAATGGTTCAGACATGTGTCAGAACACAATATTGTACAACACAGATAGCCCTGTCACTAAGATACAACAGAAGCTGAGATCAAATGGTTCAGACATGTGTCAGAACACAATATTGTACAACACAGACAGCCCTGTCACTAAGATACAACAGAAGCTGAGATCAAATGGTTCAGACATGTGTCAAGACCACAATATTGTACAACACAGACAGCCCTGTCACTAAGATACAACAGAAGCTGAGATCAAATGGTTCAGACATGTTTCAAGACCACAATATTGTACAACACAGACAGCCCTGTCACTAAGATACAACAGAAGCTGAGATCAAATGGTTCAGACATGTGTCAGAACACAATATTGTACAACACAGATGGCTCTGTCACTTTAAGGATAGTGATATTATTCACCACAATTCCATCTTTAATGTATCAGACTTGAATTTCTATGCCCAAACGGTTTCATGGGAACAGATGATGAGGCAGACCAAGAAGACAGAGCAGAGATAATATGCAGACAGACCTATCAAAAGCTGAAGTCACCAAGTGGAAAAAAGTCAAAAGTTAAAGTTGAATTAAGAATCAACATCATCATACTCATGACACTCCCATACCCCCCCCCCCCCTCCCCAATGTTTACCATCAAGCGAAGAGTTCCAATTCTGATGGTACCAGTAACTGTGTTTTTGTTTATCCGTCTCACATTTCCCTTGCAAGTAGAAAGAAAAGGCCATACACCGAGGAGGAAGTGGAGGGCGGAGAAGAAGAAGAAGAAGAAGAAGAAGAGGGAGGAGGAGGGAAGAAGAGAACTGCAGTTTTATCATTCTTTGCTGTCCTTATGTAATCTTTTTGTGAAAGACAAAACATAGTTCTTTTTTATTTCTGATCACCTGCCTTACCAGTGAGTGTGTTATCTGGAAAACATTGTTGTTTTTTATTTCTGATCACCTGCCTTACCAGTGAGTGTGTTATCTGGAAAACATTGTTGTTTTTTATTTCTGATCACCTGCCTTACCAGTGAGTGTGTTATCTGGAAAACATTGTTGTTTTTTATTTCTGATCACCTGCTTACCAGTGAGTGTGTTATCTGGAAAACATTGTTCTTTTTTATTTCTGATCACCTGCCTTACCAGTGAGTGTGTTATCTGGAAAACATTGTTTCTTTTTTATTTCTGATCACCTGCCTTACCAGTGAGTGTGTTATCTTGGAAAACATTGTTCTTTTTTATTTCTGATCACCTGCCTTACCAGTGAGTGTGTTATCTGGAAAACATTGTTCTTTTTTATTTCTGATCACCTGCCTTACCAGTGAGTGTGTTATCTGGAAAACATTGTTCTCTTTTTATTTCTGATCACCTGCCTTACCAGTGAGTGTGTTATCTGGGAAAACATTGTTCTTTTTTATTTCTGATCACCTGCCTTACCAGTGAGTGTGTTATCTGGAAAACATTGTTTTTTTTTTATTTCTGATCACCTGCCTTACCAGTGAGTGTGTTATCTGGAAAACATTGTTCTTTTTTATTTCTGATCACCTGCCTTACCAGTGAGTGTGTTATCTGGAAAACATTGTTCTTTTTTATTTCTGATCACCTGCCTTACCAGTGAGTGTGTTATCTGGAAAACATTGTTCTTTTTTATTTCTGATCACCTGCCTTACCAGTGAGTGTGTTATCTGGAAAACATTGTTGTTTTTTATTTCTGATCACCTGCCTTACCAGTGAGTGTGTTATTGGAAAACATTGTTGTTTTTTATTTCTGATCACCTGCCTTACCAGTGAGTGTGTTATCTGGAAAACATTGTTCTTTTTTATTTCTGGATCACCTGCCTTACCAGTGAGTGTGTTATCTGGAAAACATTGTTCTTTTTTATTTCTGATCACCTGCCTTACCAGTGAGTGTGTTATCTGGAAAACATTGTTCTTTTTTATTTCTGATCACCTGCCTTACCAGTGAGTGTGTTATCTGGAAAACATTGTTCTTTTTTATTTCTGATCACCTGCCTTACCAGTGAGTGTGTTATCTGGAAAACATTGTTCTTTTTTTATTTTCTGATCACCTGCCTTACCAGTGAGTGTGTTATCTGGAAAACATTGTTGTTTTTTATTTCTGATCACCTGCCTTACCAGTGAGTGTGTTATCTGGAAAACATTGTTCTTTTTTATTTCTGATCACCTGCCTTACCAGTGAGTGTGTTATCTGGAAAACATTGTTCTTTTTTATTTCTGATCACCTGCCTTACCAGTGAGTGTGTTATCTGGAAAAACATTGTTGTTTTTTATTTCTGATCACCTGCCTTACCAGTGAGTGTGTTATCTGGGAAAACATTGTTCTTTTTTATTTCTGATCACCTGCCTTACCAGTGAGTGTGTTATCTGGAAAACATTGTTGTTTTTTATTTCTGATCACCTGCCTTACCAGTGAGTGTGTTATCTGGAAAACATTGTTGTTTTTTATTTCTGATCACCTGCCTTACCAGTGAGTGTGTTATCTGGAAAACATTGTTCTTTTTATTTCTGATCACCTGCCTTACCAGTGAGTGTGTTATCTGGAAAAACATTGTTGTTTTTTATTTCTGATCACCCTGCCTTACCAGTGAGTGTGTTATCTGGAAAACATTGTTGTTTTTTATTTCTGATCACCTGCCTTACCAGTGAGTGTGTTATCTGGAAAACATTGTTCTTTTTTATTTCTGATCACCTGCCTTACCAGTGAGTGTGTTATCTGGAAAACATTGTTCTTTTTTATTTCTGATCACCTGCCTTACCAGTGAGTGTGTTATCTGGTTAATGAAAAAAGCTGACCCACAAAAGAAAATTGTCTGTATAATTCTGCAGACCCGGCCTTTAGCCTAGCTGGTCTCAGAGGGAAGCTCCTATAGACCACTGCCATTCTGATGCAGCAGCTTTTGCAGCTTTGTTTTTAATAAATTAGTGTTACCTTTCTTATAGAGTTAACAAAGCAGGTGAAAGGGGTAGCATGCTACATGGGCATCACATGGTCTCTTCGGTACTGCCCAGGCTTTGTGCTATGAAGAGGAGGAAGTTCATCCCTGGCCTTGATTGGTATCACCACGGGTTGTGATTCCTACGCGTCACTATCCTCTGGAACGACAGACAGACACCATTAACAGATTCTTGTATACAAGTATATACACATACAGTGCAGACTGCTGAAGGCCATCTCAGATGTGGTGAATATCTGTTGTCAAGAACAATCTGTTTTTCTTGTTTGTACTTTCATGAATACAAGAAATTTCTGATAAGAAGAACCAGAGTCCCTGGTGCGTTCTCCTTATCAGGTCTGCACTGCATATGTTTCCTAAATTATGCTACAGAATTCATGACTCGCAATGAGACTGACAACCCTATGTCGATATCTGTATGCAATAGAAGAGACAAAGCACAAGCCTACCTGTTATCACAAAAGACAAAACGCATGTCCATGCTGTGCTTGGAGAGGAAAGTGCTGCTGTCCAATGGTACTTCGATATTGCTAGGGTGAGGTATGGGCTCTGCAATGCCCACAAGGTAATGGAATGGACTTGGATTGCCTGACGGATCAACATTACTGTCACTGAATCCATTACTGTTCTTGGTAAGTAGACGGCCCGAACACCTAAAGACCTGTGGAAATTAATGCAAATAGAATTTATTAAAAGAGCAATTTCCACGCCTTTACCTTTTCGCACCCCAGAATACTCAAAACTGAATTATGAGAAAATTCCTGAAAAAGCCTTTAAAACAATAATTTTACACATGTCACCAATAAATTTAAAAAAATCTTTTTTTCATGATATGTAAAGCCATGATTATTTTTAGCCATGTTATGAGGAGAAATAAACCTGTAAATGAAGTGAAACTTGACTTATTTGATGGAGAAGATCAAGGGGAGAACAAAGAGATAAATAAATATATGGCTTAGCCACATGGGACAAGCACCCAGACCTGATACAAGTCTCTTACAGGACAAAGGAGACACTCTGAAGACGATTTATAAACAAATGTTGATAGAAGACATGAGGTTAGATAAAATAACATGTAAGAATGTGTGAACAAGGAATTTGTGAACAAGGAATTTGTGAACAAGGAATTTGTGAACAAGGAATGTGTGAACAAGGAATGTGTGAACAAGGAATTTGTGAACAAGGAATTTGTGAACGAGGAATTTGTGAACGAGGAATTTGTGAACGAGGAATTTGTGAACAAGGAATGTGTGAACAAGGAATTTGTGAACAAGGAATTTGTGAACAAGGAATGTGTGAACAAGGAATGTGTGAACAAGGAATTTGTGAACAAGGAATTTGTGAACAAGGAATTTGTGAACAAGGAATGTGTGAACAAGGAATTTGTGAACAAGGAATGAAGTGTGGTTCAGGCAAAGAGGGACATATGAGAGGATGAGAATGATGAGTTTTTAATCAGTGTGCTAAGGGAACAGTTAGCATCTAAATCAGTGTGCTAAGGAAACAGTTAGCATCTAAATCAGTGTGCTACAAGAACAGTTAGCATCTAAATCAGTGTGCTACAAGAACAGTTAGCATCTAAATCAGTGTGCTACAAGAACAGTTAGCATCTAAATCAGTGTGCTACAAGAACAGTTAGCATCTACACTTTTAGATATTTTCTGCGGAAGACAGAGCACCTATAGCTATGCCCGGTGTGCTATGATGCCAAATCTTAAATCAGTAATTACGACTTTAATGCAGTGTTTCTCATTTACCCAGTGAATGCTCAAAAACAACAACAAATGGGCCTCGCAGCCGTATAAATTTCCTAACAATTCTTCTTAAAAACCCAACTATTTTACACATGTAACTAATAAATTGTTTAAAACCTTATTTGTTTACATAAAAAAAAAAAAATGTCTGTGTGGAAATATATACAGTTATCTGAAGGGAGTAATCAATAAACAAGAAATGGAATGGAATGCATTTCCCAGGGCCTATAACTAATATGTATCAGGTGACTCATGCTGTGACCTGTGACCTCTATCACTGAGGCTTATGAGAACATTTTAAAAGAACCTGGTTTAAAAAAATATAAAAGCAAAAGGATTGACTCTAAATGCTATTTCAATTATTATCACATCCAGGTTGCCTCATGTGGGTTTCAGGGCTCCATTAGGGGGTATTCAAGAATAGACCCACTGCCTTCTCAACAAACATGTCATAGGAGTCGACTAATTGGGGGGGGGGGGGGCGCCTTCCTTTGGAGTGCCTCTGCCCAAGTGGCAAGGAACAACCAACTGCACACAAACAAGTAAGTAAAATGCATGTACATGCAAAACTCAGGCTCTGGCGCAAAGCCAAAGTTCAAATTGACAAACATGCAGGACTTTCCATCTGAGGTTACAGCTGGCAAACAAAGAAGAAGATGTAAGATGACCTGCCCATGTCTAAACATGGCACATAATCCACTTCTTATTTTGTTTACCAGAAATGTGTTGTCTATATCTGCAATTTTATCTCCTGTATAAATGTTACTGTCTTTTCTTGTTTTTTTAAATTAAATTCAGTGATACATAAAGTTTATTTCCACTGTGTTTTTTTTTCTGGCTCAATGCGTTGCCCTAATGTTTTATATTTGGGGCGGCCTTAAAGTATGTGTTTTGCTGTCTAGCGTAAATTCCAAAATGCAAATGGCCGTTACAATTTTATATTTCATACACATTATTTTTAAAATATAAATTATACATAAGAATTGGCTCATAAACAGTGTCCTGTCCCGAAAGCTGGGGTATTCTGGCCATGTTAAACATCAGTGTGGCATGGACAGAACAATGATGGAGGGCAGTTTCCAGAAAATGAGACACAGGCAGACCTCCATGAAGATGGATACAAGATTCTTTGCCTATAAAAGCCCAAAGAGCTGAAGAATTAGCTAGAGAAAGAGACTTTCAGACCTGCCAGGATGAGGGCTATGTTTTGTAAAGGACCTACTGACTGATGATGATGATAAATGTGGCTACTTAATTAGGCATGTCCTATTGAGAATAAGGTCCTAGACAATGCAGTGGCACATAATGATGATGATGATGATGTACTACACATTACTAAGGTGTGTCAAGCACAATCTGCAAAGGAAGATTCAGGCTTGCTTGCTTATCCCCAAAAACTTCACTGAATTTACCTTGTAAGTAGCAGATTTGAGATTGACATTTCTGCCCTTGGATGTTAGCGTACATTTGACACGGATGAAGAAGTTCTTTGTATTTGATATTGGGGACTGTTGGGGATTCTGTCTTGTGGTCAGCATCTCCTTGATCTCATCATGGTCGCAAGGATGGGTGAAGTCGTAGATGCTCTGTCCCATCAATTCCATCTAATAAAGAACAGTGTCACAATTCAGAGTCTTCATCACGACAGTTAAAGCAACATGACGACATGAGGATGACGTGACTAGGCATGGTGTTGGCAACAGATTTTATCAAAAGACAGTGAATTCGATAGTTTGACGGTCTACAGTTAGAGGATTTTACAGTAACAAGACAGCACTACAATGTACAGTCAGCACTGGATTTTATCATCAGACAGCAAATCTGATAGTTTGAGACTTTAACCAGCAGTGGATTAAATGGCCAGTCTAACAGTCTCAAGAAGCGTGGATTTTATAATTAATTGAAAGTCTATAATGAGCAGTAGGTTTCAAAATGAGAAACTAAAGCAGACAGTTGATTTGATTATAATCAGACAGCAAAGCAGATAGACTGATGTTCTGTAGGAGCAGTAGATTTGTTTTATAAGTTAATGCTGAATCAGACAGCTTCATATCGTCTAATGGGCAACAGATTTTAGAATTAGACAGTGAATCAAACAGTCTGATGGTCTACAGATAAGGGTAGATTTTGTGTTACAGGATGCTGTGATGGTACAGAATTCTAGTAAAGTACAATATGCCAGTTATTAAAAAAATACAAAATATATGCAGCGATAGAAACAATATACCTATGATAGAACCATATACCAGTGATGGAACAGTATATACCAGTGATAATACAATGCAAAACTGATGGAGAAATTTACCAGTGATAGAACAGTATATCATCATCATGTAGCAGGTCCTTTGCAGAACGTCGCTCTCATCACAGTCTGCCTGAAAGAAACTCGGTCTCTCGCCAGTTCTTCTGCCTCATATACTTTCATACTCAAGGAGTCACTTATATCCTGTGCCCATCTTCGTGTCGGTCGGCCCCTGCCCCTCCTTCCTGGTACCATGCCTTCTGCTATAGTTTTTTCAATCCGTCGTGGCGCTTGATATCACCAAAATATTTCAGCTTCTGAGAAAGGATGCTGTTTATTAGCCAATCTTCCTTGATGTTTAGATCTTTTAAGATGTCAATATTTCTCCTCTTCTTTGTCCAAGATATTCTGAAAATCTTCATATAGCATTTCAGCTCAAAAGCCCCATTCTCTTTCTTAAGGACTGAGAGATAATCCACGACTCACATCTGTATGTTGCCAAAGGGATGATGCATGCTCTCAAAATTCTAATTTTTATCTCCTCGCTGGTGCTTAACCATAGACTGTTCAACCTTTGAAGTATATACCAGTGATAATACGATGCAAAACTGATGGAGCAATTTACCAGTGATAGAACAGTATATACCAGTGATAGAACAGTATATACCAGTGATAGGACAGTATATACCAGGGATAGAACAGTATATACCAGTGACAGGACAGTATATACCAGTGATAGGACAGTATATACTAGTGATAGAACAGTATATACCAGTGATAGGACAGTATATACCAGTGATAGAACAGTATATACCAGTGATAGGACAGTATATACCAGTGATAGGACAGTATATACCAGTAATAATACAATGCAAAACTGATGGAGCAATTTGCCAGTGATAGAACAGTATATACCAGTGATAGAACAGTATATACCAGTGATAGAACAGTATATACCAGTGATAGGACAGTATATACCAGTGATAGGACAGTATATACCAGTGATAGGACAGTATATACCAGTGATAGGACAGTATATACCAGTGATAGAACAGTATATACCAGTGATAGGACAGTATATACACCAGTGATAATACAATGCAACATTTATGGAACCATATACCAGTGTTGAAGCAATATGCAAGTTATAATTAAATGCAAAATTGATGGAATCATATACCAGTGATGGAATAATATACCAGTGATGGAACAATATACCAGTGATGGAACAATATACCAGTGATGGAACAATATACCAGTGATGGAACAATATACCAGTGATGGAACAATATACCAGTGATGGAACAATATACCAGTGATGGAACAATATACCAGTGATGGAACAATATACCAGTGATAGAGCAATATACCAGTGATGGAACAATACACCAGTGATAGTTGAATTCGCCAGTGTCACCGGGGCCCCAGTGATGGAACAATACACCAGTGATAGAACCGTATACCAGTGATGGAACAATATACCAGTGATAGAGCAATATACCAGTGATGGAACAATACACCAGTGATAGAGCAATATACCAGTGATGGAACAATATACCAGTGATGGAACAATAAACCAGTGATGGAACAATATACCAGTGATGGAACAATATACCAGTGATGGAACAATATACCAGCGATAGAGCAATATACCAGTGATGGAACAATACACCAGTGATAGAGCAATATACCAGTGATGGAACAATATACCAGTGATAGAGCAATATACCAGTGATGGAACAATATACCAATGATAGAGCAATATACCAGTGATGGAACAATACACCAGTGATAGAGCAATATACCAGTGATGGAACAATACACCAGTGATAGAACCGTATACCAGTGATGGAACAGTATACCAGTAATATAACAATATACCAGTGAAGGAGCAGTAAATCTGTGGTAGAACGGTTTACCAGTGAGGGAACAATACACTAATGACTGTACAAATTACCAGTGATGGAATAATACACTAATGAGGGAACAAGATAACAGTGAGGGAACAGTACACTAGTGATGGTACTTCCATACCCCAGAGACAGTACAGTAGAAAGGCAACGGTAAAATACAATAGCACTAGAGATAGTTCAATACAGCGGTAAGAGTATAATACCACGAATGGCACAATATGCTGTGGTGATAGTGCTGAGTACAGCCTACCTGTGGCAGCCCTAGAAACTTGGACACATTCTCTGTGAAGTAGACAATGTTACTGAGTATAGCCTACCTGTGGCAGCCCTAGAAACTTGGACACATTCTCTGTGAGGTAGACAATGTCCCCCTCCTCAGCCAGGATATAAGCAAATCCTTCCAGAGCTTTCTGATGCAGGTGATCATATGTGTTTTCTTTGATCTTCTTCTCCATAAATGGTTTGATATCAATTTCTGAAAGGTAATAAGTGAAATCATGGCAATGGAGCTGATCAGACAAATACAAGCAGTAATATGGGAGGATCATGATGATGATGATGAACATGGGAATAATAAGTATATTCTGACACTGCCCAGTGTAAAGAGTTAAAGGTTAAATATGTACACAATATGGCAGTATTATAAAGGATTAACCAATGTTGAATGTCGCCCGTGTGTCACCGGTGCCCTCACGGGAAGCAAAGAATAGTGACACTGCACCCTACCAGGCATGTCGTAAGAGGCGACTAAGGGTAGGGTTTCATTATTATAAATAATGAAAGAAAGGGCAACTTAAAAATGTTGATGGGTGACTTGAATGCTAAGATAGGATCAGACAACACAGGTTATGAAGAGAATTATGGGGAGAACAGCCTTACATGGTCTAGGAGTGACATGAATGAAAATGGAGAATTGTTCACAAATTTGTGTGCAGGTAACCAGTATGTTATTGGTGGAAGTATTTTTCCCCATAAAAGAATACACAAGGCAACATGGGAATCAAAAGACCATAAGAAAACTAATCAAATTGACCACATATGTATTAACAAAAAGCTTAGATCATCCCTTTACGATGTTAGGGCTTTCAGAGGTGCCGATGTATTTACTGACCATTTCCTGGTGATAAGTAAAATCAAGTTGAAACTAAAATGATATATAACATCTTATAATCATAGAAACCAATATAATGTAGGCTTTCTCAGAGATAAAGAAATTAAGGAACAGTTCTCAGTTACGGTCTCTAATAAGTACCAGGTGTTGCAGCAGTTAGCTGAAGATGTCAACACAGAAGTCTGCTGGGATCAGATCAAAGGAATCTGGAATGAATCTTGCGTAGAAGTTCTTGGCAAGAAAGAAAGGAAACATAAAGCATGGATAACACCAGAAACCATTAAAATGATTGAAGATAGGAAAAGTAAAAAGGCAGAATTAAACAATAGCAAAACTAGAGCTGCTAAAGCTAGAGCTCAGGAGAATTACACAGAAGCCAACAAGGAAGTTAGGAGGCATATAAGGGCAGATAAAGTAAAATATCTAAATGATCTAGCACAAGAAGCGGAGACAGCAGCTGCAAAAGGAAACCTCAGAGAACTTTACAGTAACATAAGAAAATTAGTAGGTAAATATAGTCAGCCAACTGGATCAATCAAAAATAGTCAAGGAAAGGTACTTACTAACACTAAAGATCAAATGGACAGATGCGTTGAATATTTTGAAATGCTTCTAAAAAGACCAGGCCCAGAGGTTCCCCCAGATATCCAGCCTTTAGAAATGGAACTGGATATCAACTGTGAGATACCATCCAAAAAAGAAATTAGAAAAGCTATAAATCTTCTTAAGGAAGGAGAGGCGTCAGGCCCAGATGGTATCCCAGCTGAAGCCATCAGGACCAACATAAACACATCAACAGAATTGCTACATAGATTATTCAGTAAAGTCTGGGAGACCGAAGAAATACCAGCAGACTGGAGAGAAGGATATCTTGTGAAACTGCCCAAAAAAGGTGATCTACAGAAGTGTGAAAACTATAGAGGAATTATGTTGCTGTCAGTTCCTGGAAAAATATTAAGTAGAATTATTTTGGAAAGATTAAAAGATGCTATTGATAAAATGCTAAGAGATGAGCAGGCAGGTTTTCGGTCAAACAGATCCTGTACTGATCAGATAGCCACATTACGTATTATAATAGAGCAAAGCACTGAACTGAACTTACCACTTTACATTGGATTTATAGACTATGAAAAAGCATTTGACAGCATTGATAGGGAATCTCTCTGGAAATTGATGGGGCACTATGGAATCCCACAGAAAATTATCAACTTAGTAAAGGCAACATATAGAGACATGAAATGTCGAGTTCTTTATGAGGGAAAGCTAACAGATGCATTTGAAATAGAAACAGGTGTGCGACAGGGATGTCTTTTGTCGCCTCTCTTATTTTTACTGGCTATAGACTGGACTATGAAAACAGTAACTGCTAACACCAAGAATGGAATTCAGTGGACTCCTACAAAACAGCTTGATGATCTGGACTTCGCTGATGATATTGCTCTTCTGTCCCATTCACGGAATCAGATACAAGATAAATTAAATATACTTAATGCGAGATCACAGCAGCTTGGTTTGAAAATCCATAAAGGAAAGACAAAGATAATGAGAATAAATCAGGCAAATAGTAATGTGGTTTCTCTTAATGGCACCCCACTCCAAGACGTGGAGTCATACACCTATTTAGGCAGTAATGTAGATAAAGATGGAGGAACTGATAGAGATATTAAAATAAGAATACAAAAGGCAAGAGGGGCTTTCATAGCACTAGGGAATTTGTGGAGGTCAAAAGAAATTAAAAGAAATACTAAACTAAAAATTTTTAATTCTAATGTCAAATCAGTACTATTGTATGGGGCGGAAACATGGAGAACAACCAAGGCAATTACTAATAAATTACAGACATTCATTAACTGGTACCTGCGCAGAATAGAGGGAATAAAATGGTATGATAGAATAACTAATGTAGAACTTTGGGAGAGAACTAAACAGGCTCCAGTGGATCAGGAGGTGAGGAAAAGACGCTGGCTTTGGATAGGGCACACACTGAGAAAACAGGAGAACAGCATAACTAGAATGTCTTTGCATTGGAACCCACAGGGGCATAGGAATAAAGGAAGGCTAAAAAACACATGGAGGAGAGAGCTGGAGAATGAGGTTAGAAAGATTGGGAGGACATGGGGAGAGCTCCATGCAATGGCGAAGGATAGAACGACTTGGCGTGAGTTGGTTGAGGGCCTATGCTCCATTGGGGGATAGAAAGGCAGAAGAAGAAGAATGTTGAATGAGGAATTGATAACACAGCACTCGGACAGTCCTGTAAGTGCCCTGTTTATATCTTCAGCAGAAAGCGAAGAGTTCCAATTCCGATGGCACCAGTAACTGTGTGATTATGTAACCGTTTTACCTTTTCTTTGAGTGTTGAGCATCGTCCATGTCCCCTGGTAACTGCCTGCAGCGCCATCAGAACGTAATGATCTATGTGTTTTTCCTCATTGTTCACCCACTCCCAAAGTGCCCTTACAACATCTAGCTTGTCATACATCAATTCAGCACCAAATGGTACAGAACCATCCAGTCTATCTGGATTACACAGAAGGGATTATGTGTGATACCCTTTTTAACAACATCCCTATTATAGAAATTTACATATAGTAGGTTATGCTGATGTTGCTCTGGCAACACCAACTCTAGTGTCCGATCGTAAGTATTGGCATTTCTGACGGCTGTATAATGCATCTAATGCAACAGCTCTACTTTAGGAATTTACACAGAGCAGGCAATGCGGTTGTTCCTCTGGAGACACTAATTCTAGTGGCGGACCGTAAGTGTTGTCATTTCTGATAGCTGAATTTAATGTGCCTGTTTAATTTTGGCCTGCCAAGATTGCAGTATGTTTCCATTTTTCACAGGATACTGAGATGAGCATTCTGTTTAGTTTTCGCTGCCGCAGATAAAAAAAAACCCCAGAAAATATGGGGGTGGTTCATCTGCCCTCAAACCTAAGCATAAAGATGAGATGTACACTGAACCTGGTTGAGGGGAGGACACTTTCAGGCTTGATCTGTTTCCATACACGCACAAAAGTCCATTTTCTTCTTCTTCGCCCTCACTGGCTGCAAACTCCGACAGGAAGTCCTGGTTGTTCGTGCACTTCTGGAGTTTAGTCTTGTTCCAAAACTTGAGTTATGCGTGCACATCCGTTTTAAAGATCTGGCTTATTTGTGTACAGACTGTTGGTACTTCGCTTATCAGGTAGATACATTCAGAGTTCAAAGGAAGTACCACGTATCAATCGACCTATCCTACATGCTAGTTATGGTGGCAGCGGGTCTATTACAACCCTCCCCCCACAAACTCCAAGGGAACTGAAATCTACGCGGTGAGAAAAGACATAAAGTTGAACGGAAACAAATGTTACATGCCACAAACATATCCCCCACCCCTTGTGCCGTGGTCGTATTACTGACATAATAAACATATCCGTTCAACAGCAGGAAAGTACCGGCTGGTGTCTTGTTGTTTACCAGGTCACGATTAAAAAACATGAAGTCCGAGCTTTATCAATCTATATCTGTCCTTAGAGAGAGCCTGAGGACAGATTACCTAAAGTAGAGCGTTCCAAGCTGTTTGCTCTGATATATTAGGTTTCGTCTGTAGTGTGAATGTCTGTCTCGCCAACGTAAAGCATTAAACAGAATAATCGGCACGCAAAGGGCGTCAACGCCGACGTACATGACTATATATGACTGCAAACAACAAAGCGGTAAAATATTTTTTTGCCATTTCATGTCCTATAAAAAATTTTCACCGCACCCTCCCCCCTTTTCTAAATGGGCTGCTAGGCTTGATTTGTTAAACTGTATGCCAAAGTATCTCACACATTCAATTACTTAGTAGGTTAGCAGACTGAATAACTGTGTTGTGAAATTATGTCTAAAATATGTGTCACCGTCAAGAACAGACTGGAAAGCTCCGACCTATTTGCATTTTTATGTGAATGACCTACTAGAAAAAGAAATAATAACCCGACTCTTTTCCCCCTTCCAGGGACAATAGCTCAACGCAAGAACGGTTCCGCTTTTCCTAAGGGGAGACAAGCGAATCAGATAAATATATTTCCGGTTACTAAATGGCAGCAACCTAATTAAAGACGCGGCGCTAAGGGGAACACCCAGTCATTGAGTTAGTTGCTTATCCTTTACAGGACGTTGCAGAACCAACCCTAGCACTTTTTGGCCGTTGTGGTTTTTCTAGGCATGTTTACGTCCAATAGTTTGCCATTGCTTTCTGGACGGGACGGTCGGTTTCTCGATCCCAGTGTCGAAACCAACGCAAGACCCGCAGCTGGGATCGAACCCGGCACCCCTGCATTACGAAGCGTGTTCGCAACGCCTAAGCCCCAGACGCCGACATTCGTTGAGTAG